TGTTTGCGCAGAAAATCGCATTGTGGAGTCAAAAGGGCAAAACCCTTGTGAAGGATAACGTAAGTAGAGGTCCTGCCCCATTCACCGGTTTACACTGTTGAATATCTAGTATTTCGATGTCTATTTTTGAGGTCGTTTCACACGCCGCCCAAGCACATCTCAAACGTACTGTATTGCTGACAGTCGAGTGATCAAGATTGCAAAGCAAACACCTTAAACGCTCATCCTTAAAAACGTTCTGCTGACACGACCTGTGTGCACTGGCGTGTTATCTTATTAGAAGGCTTTTATAAGATTAAATTATTTGTGATTAACCATTTGTCAGATATAGAAAGCAATAATATGTGTTCCTACTGATGAAGTGTCGAAAAGCAGTGCAGTTACAATGACTGATACAAACGGAATACCACTGACTTTAAATTTGTTTTGACAACGCCCCCTTTTAATTCTGATACACTATAACAAATCTGGTACGGTTACCTTCGAAATATTTTCATTGGTTTACACTCTTCTACCACCATTCAAAACGACCTAATTCAACGAAGCAGCAGTTTGCAAAGAATTCACGTCCATGGCACTTTCACTCGTACCTTTTCGGATTTATAATGATGAAATCCCATAAACCCCTGGAAATCATATTCAACAAAGAACAGATAAGAAATATGTAGTTTGAGGGTGATTCCAAAATATAATTCAGGCAAAGGAAAGACAATTAAGCAGAATATATGTCCAGACATCCAACAACATCTTCAAATACCTTTGGACACTCGAGGATAGGTGAATATTACCTGCATTTCTTGTTATGTCATTCAATTCAAGAGGAATCGAACCTGGAATAGATTGTGAAAGACACCAGCAAAGATCATGTTATGATTGATCTAATAGGAAAGATTGCTTCGGGGAAAAAATGAAAGGAACCATTCTAAAATGCGGACGCAAACCATTTCATCAAAGTGCGGGAGAAACTCCATGTAGTTTTAACAAGCTGTGTAAGCATACAATTACACCAGTCACGTTTAGTTATACCATCTACACTACAGCAGAGGGTAGTTGAGACTGCACACGAAGGACATCAAGGAGATGTGATGACCAAAAAACTTCTTGAGGAAAAAGGTTTGGTTCCACAGAATCAACAATCTAGACAAATCTACATGCGAAAAGTATATACCCTGTCTAGCAAGTACACTACATAACAACTATGAACCACCCCAAATGACTCCATTTTTAGAAAAGCAATGAACGCGTGTGTCAGCAGATTATGGAGGCACGGTAGTCAAGTGGTAGGACTCCGAGCACGTAACCGAAGGGTTGCAGGTTTCCTCCGCTTGTTCCATTCCTATGAAGTGATTGACAAAAAGGATACACAAATCACAGAAACCAGTATTTGCCAGCCGATTAAAAAGAATATGCTCTGAAATAAAGCCTTGTTCAGGTGTGTAGGGACCAGGTACAAATTGTTGTAAGAGGCATACTAATTATCAGCATTTACCTGTAGTCAGGCAAGAAGCCTAGGTATTTTAGTTCAATTGATTTGTTTGAAAATTTGTTAAGTTCATGATGGTGTACTTGCCTCCTTGTGATAGCAAGTATTCATACAAAACGTTTTAGCGGGTTTTTTATGAGAATATGGTACCGAAGGGTTTAAAAAACCGAACGCGTTAATGTGTGGTATCCAGAGACACATGATAGTAGTTATAGGCTGATTTCAGTGCTTAAACGGGGAAAGATATCGTGCATAAACTTCATGATTTTAATTTCGTTGCAACCATGACCGGAGTAAACGGCGTAGTTAAAGAGGACGGTGATGGTCCCACTGTAATGAGCACCAAAACAGGACAAGTGGGGCATTCTTTCTTTGGCATGTCAAAAGTAGGCCTTGGTTGCAAACTGCAGAAACTTAGAAATCAATGCACCTACTTGCAATTTAGCCTTCCTGTCGTCCTAACACAACTCAGCTGTATATTTGATGTTCTATATCCAAACTTGAGTGAAAAGGCGCGTTCTATGGAGGCATCACAGTATTTGAACTTATTGGGAAATATAAGAAATAAGCATGTTCATGATAACGACTTATTACAAATGGCCGCCGCGAAGGATTTGATGAGCAGACGGCCGGTGGATATATTCATAAGTAAGAATGTCCCCTAAAACGCAGGTCGATATTTCACCATACATGTTCTGCATCAGAAGCAGTTGGAATTCTGAAGGAACTCGTTTGTTATTTTTTTGGAACATCTTTATATAATGTGTAATTATTATAAAAAAAATACTGTCCTTCTTTTGACCTAATTTGTCCTATGGCATGGACTAAAAGTGATTCTGCAGCATTTTCAAATAGGTCTAAAACTAATATGGCCTGCATTACGTCATATGACAGAATTATGAAACGGCTCGATTATACGACATACAAGAAATTATATCATTTGTAGATATTCTCGAGGTTTATCTTCTCATTACTTGCCATTTGAGATGGGGTCATATTAAAGTCATCGCTGTTGGGTCAATGGTCACCACTTATTCAACTGTGTTTATTTTTCAATATCTTTGAAAACATCTTTTCGATATCGATAGGGAATACTTTAATGATGAATTTAACGTTTTCATTTTTTTTTCTTGTACGTTTACCATTTTTAATATTTTCTTTTATCAGCTTGAAAAGCTGACAATTTGCTAACACACTATTTAACGCATTTTTTTCTATGATAATGCATCAACGCATGCACAATGGAAAAAATTCTGCACCAAGAAAGATAGCCCCAATTTACCAATATGATGTTTATGACCAAAATTGGTAAATAACTTCAAGTTGAATTGTTACTTTTTATGAGGCAAAACATGACCCATAACGCCCAAAGCCATCTCATCTCAACTAAGTAGAAATATCTTACCGATCGCCTTTATGAAGTTTTACTTTTTTTATCAAAGTGATTTAATTTCCCAAATGGCTACCACGAGCCCCACTTGGTTAATCATAAAACAGCGTTGTCTCGTAAATGAGTTTAGTCACAAAGAAAAAAGTCAACTTCCGGCTTTCGTCAGGGGTCAAATTAGAGGATTTGTTCATTTGAAAGTTTTTTAACAATCTCCTTCTTCTTCAGACCTGCCATTTCAGGTATGTGCCAAACTTAGTACAAGTATCTCAAAGGTGACTATTTCGAAATGTTGTTACTGTAAACAAGTTACGGAGGCACGGTAGTCTAGTGGTGGGACGCCGGGCTAGTGACCAAGATGCTTTACTCAACCTGTCACTCTTTTTCCTTTTTTCTCTTTTTTTTCTTTTTAGCGCATTTTGTTTTTGTAAACGTCCAAACATAGTGGGGTTTTTATGATATAACAATATGACCATCTCGTGAAAAGTTTGATGTCGTTATGAATTGTGCTCAGAGTTAAGTCAAGTACAAAAATTAATCGAGTCCTTATCTTTGGTTAACTGATGAAACTTAAAAAATAGGTAAACGAAACCTGTTTTATCCTTGCAAAATATGACCTTTGACCTTCATCTCAACATAAAACCAAGCTTAAACACACACGTACACATTTATATCCAGCTTTATGAATTACATCCGCCATTTACAAGCTCTTTTCAGTTTATTATTTTTGTTTTTAAACTTTGTACTATATATTAAAATACATGTTTTTGCATTAGTATCTGATTTAGCTATTGAAAACCCTTTTGTGGATAGATCTGTTCATCCTATGTTTCCCCTGTGAACATAACCCTCTTTTTGAAGACGAAGTCATCCAGGTATTACAGCTTTCATTATATTTTTGTGTTTTTGACATAACAGTTACTGTATGCATGGAACGACTATTTACTTATAGTTGCTTTTAACCGTAATAAGGTAATTTCTACTTCTACATTTAAACGTCTAGATACGAGGGGGGACCAGCTGAGTTATCTGTATGACCCAATACTGACTTAATGGGAGATAGGGCTAGATTTTTACCTTACAAGTAAACTATTCGATGCGTTGTGTATACACTCTCTTTCGATAGGCGAAACGTTCCAGGTCGTGTGACATTTGAAATATACATTTTCGTCACATCGTTGTACAGGTAAACAAAACCAATCGCCCAACAGTCATATCTTATAAAGGGAACCAATTAGTCTTGGAACGTTTCGACACGTTTAATTCGCTTTTACTTCGATATTTTATACACTCATGTTTCATGGCAAAATATATAAAGTAACACAAGGTATTCGTGCAAAATAAATCAATTAATAAATCAAACACATTTATTCCTACATTCCTTTATAAAGCAAATTAATGTCTTGTGATTTCAAATAACGATACTTATTCCATGATTTTCTTATTTATTTGCAATATATGTTCCCTACTGTTGCATGTATTTCGAAAACATCCGTTATTGAATGTTTATCTGTTTATGTATATTGTTCCACCACTTTTCCACCAACAACCAACAAGCTTTAAAACGTATTTTCCCGTTTAAAATATAATCAATGGCGCTTTAATTGGGTTAAACCCCAGTATCTTTGAAGAAAGTTGAAAAAACGCCACACAAATGGGAACTCTGTTTTGTTAGACGGACAACATTGAGCTATGGGACATTTAATCGTATAGGATTTGCCTCAGCGCAACAGGAATAATGACACAACTGTAACGACCATATCAAAACGGTCTTTCCGAAAAAGCATTTGAGCTGATTACTGATATGAAAGATACATTCCAATAATGTTTACATTATGTGCAATAATTGTATTCATTGATAGCTTTCATAAGGTGCAAAAATAGAAAAAAAAACTAATTATATGGATATATGTTTCACAACTTGAAATGAATTGGTGTATGGTGTTTCGAATAAAATTGTTGATTGCATATATCAAAAACCAATGAAATAAATGATTTCATCACACATTGTATAATGACTTGTGGATTTATTGATCACGTTAAATATAACAGATTAAACCAATATTTACAAAAACAATTGCATGAGTAAGTTTACATCTAATTAAGAAATTGCGTGCTAATTCTTAAAAAATATTAATAATTGATGTCAATTTGATATACATAAATTATGTACATGTATACCACAACACCTGTGTCAATCTGTCTTTATAAATCGAGAAAATAATTAGTGCGAATTACTCAAAAAAAGTTTTTTTGACGAAAGCCAACATTTCAAAATATGAATTTTGATAGGAATGTCAACAATTTCTCAGGCATTTATTGGTTGTCAAGAATACCATATTTTAAATGGCTGTTGTCATATCTGGATTGCAGAAAATCAAACTGGTGCTTTGAAATGAAGATCGAGACTGCTTGTATTTCAGAAGGTCGACATTACATTCTTTGTCAGGCCGTTGATTTACAAATTATGTTAAAATGCGCACGCAATTAGAACCTAAAGATGCACATGTGTGATGTGTTTGACATATTGCAATACATGTTTAAAGTTCAACATTTTCTTGTCCATAGACCAAAGTTCAATATGAAAAAGCCATCACGTCGTAAATAAATGGAAGCCTTAATGCCAAAACCAGTGCAGACAATACTTCACGAGCAAAATGCTTGCCACCAAGATGCATCGGCCTTCTTTAGCGACCATTCCTGAAAAATAAATAACACGCGTTATTGACAGATAAGTAATGAATCTCGAAGGATAATTAATTATAGTGTTCTTCATCTTAGTAACTGAACTAAATATATATTTATATATATAGTCCGTCTGAACAGGCCATGAAGGCAGAAATGCCTAGCGGTAGATCTTGGACACTTATTATTCTCTTCTATATACATAATAAATAAACAAGTTCTTGCGAAGGAAAATATAAAATAAAACAATAAATATGTTATTCTATATATAGTAGTTAAATGAAAAGAACAATTTCTTGCGCAGAAAATATAGTTTAAAATAATAAATATCCAAGATCTACCGATAGGCATCTGCCTTCTAGTGCTTCTTCAGGCGGACCTGAACATGAAATTGAAGTCCGTATGACAGGAAAATAATACAACATTTTATAAATCACAAGGAGGATTTTTGAAGGTACAATCAGTCAACGTAACAATGCTTCGGACGTTAACTATGAAGTAATACAATACACACTGTAGTGACCTTATCAACAACAAACAGTCTGAAGTATTTTGGAGTTTTCGCTTATCACTTTTTAACCTTCTCTGAGCAGGTATATACATGCCTACTAGAAGTATCCCCGAAGTTGACAAATATAGAAATCCGTACAATATGAACATGCAAAAGAATATACTACACTACTTGATTAATAGTTCATACTCTCTATACTCTCATTTATAAATATATGAAGTATCTTTGGAATTCAGCTCGTCAAATGCCGCATCAGACACAAGGACGCAAAAGGTGAACAAATGGCTTCCATTATAACACGTGGTGTTAATTGATCGAGTGCTTACACAATATCGACAGGAATAACACGAAAGGTTACAGACACAGTGTTTCGGTGGTAATAAATACCGAAGTATGCAAAGGCCGATAAGGACCGATATGATGCATTATTACACATACATAAACAATATATCCAAAAAATAATATTTACGTATACTCCAGAATAATCTATATATTAAACCTGCAGATTATACATGTACAGGATGTTGGTTGGTTGTATAGATTTTAACAACCTAATAACAGCTTAGGTCATTTTAGGATGTGCCTCCATGTGTGTATGTGTGCTGGAGGCATATTTCGTCATATATTTGGTGATGTTTCTGTTTTACCTTATACTGGGGAAAACTAAAATGTCAGCATAATGTGATAGGAGATATCAAAGACGACAAAATGGTTTATACTTACCCTTTACCCCATTCGTTGATAAACTTTCGACGCGGAATGAAGTCGATACTTCAAGGGTGTTTTTGTGTTTCTGTTGAAATGCATTTCGTCGTCTGCGTGTTATCTGTCAGAATAAGGAAAACACACTTAAAATATGTGAAGAGGTATAAAAGAGAAAAAGTAAGAGGAAGAAACATAAAACTAACAATAGCATTTGATAGAGCATTAGCATGTGGTACATTATTTAGTTTTCATACAAGATGTTACACATGAGTATTTATATATAGGTTAATATAGAAATAATGTTTGTTCGGTCCTGAATGTTTGCCATTCAATGTATACTTGCCGTGGTAGTAATGGGAGAAGCAGTTGTTGTTGTCGGAGTCGAAACATCAACAGTACAGGTAATGACTACATTATCTTTACCAATAAATCTGAAACCAGTCATAGTAGCTGATGCCGTCTGCAACGTCGCTTCCTTAAAATTTGTCAAAACACTGTTAGTACCGTCGGGATTCCTGTAATGGCAAAGAATGAGATGTGTAAGTTGTGTAATATCATATTAATTTTCAATATATATGGAAAAATGTATGTATTGATGATACACGGTTATGTTTTTTTTTTGAAATTTGTCTTAATTATAAAAGTATATCACTTCAAATATCTTTTGTAAATGTTGTGTGTATTTATGGCATTTGAACAAAGTCTAAATCATCATCCAAAAACAGCATATCAAAAAAGATATCAAAATTAACAAGTATACATTTTAATAGAATTTGTTCAACGAGGTATTTTCTTAACTAAAACATGTGCAAAGGATATGACAACAAACTCAACAGCCGTAAGCAAACAATCCGCATCTGGTTATGATTGTAGGATCACACATATTGATTGAGAAGTGACTTAATTAAAAAAAAACTGTGGAAAGGAATAAGAACATCACAAATATTCTACAACAGACGTGGACATCTAATCAAAACAATAATATAATGAAATACTGTTATATTGACGCGACAGCTTTAAAAATAATTTGTATAGAAAATAGATATATAGATTTCAACAAACAGTTTAAACTAAAAACTGATGATGACCAACTCTACTTACCCACTAATGAACAAATGTACCGTTTCACTTTTTTCATTGCCGGGATAGGCATCGCACGACTGTACATGGATATGCAGGTTGTCCGCTTGAAAACAATACATGCCTATTAATATAACACTTAAAACAGTTTATTTTAGTTTTTAAATAATGAACGGATGGTTGTTATATTCATGTTTACGGACCCTCATAACTCAAAATATGATTTGCGTTTGCATTTGGCCACGGAAAGGTCAGGGATTTAAAACATTCAATAATGATATGTTCAGAGATTATTCCTTGACAGTAAGAAGAGGTGATATTGTAGTACAATGTATATCATCAAGGCGTATCATTCCCTTTTTTTAATCCTACCGTTTTATTTTCAATGAATACCTTTTAATGGTGTACTTTAAACAGCTGCTATTCTCGCTAATTACTTTTTGACACATTAGATAAGTTAACAAAACAATTTGATGTGGTAGGAACTCTGTTGACCTTGAAATCATAATCCCGCTCATAACATTGAAGAAGAGGCCAAGCTACCACTATTAGAGCTCTCATCAGAATATTCTAATGTTTCCACCGGTATTTCCGCACATATGTCTTCCTCAAATTAATGTATCAGTTATGTTTCAAATTACGTAAAATTTACCAAAAAACAACAACATAATAATCATGAGTAATTTCATCATGCAACGGTTATCCAGGTCATATTCTACTGACTACTGTTAATCAAGTAAATGTTTAGTATAGTACACAAGAAATTAATCTGGACTAATAGTTTGAATGAAAGAATTGCGATACAATTCGTAGGTTAAATGATCTCCAGCTTCTTCATGTTTAGACTTATTTCAAAGCGCACTTATGAGAGGAACGCTATGTAAAGATATTACAAAGTCACCATATCTACTCACCAATTGAGTGTTCTATTGAAAAAGTATTTATATATATAGTATTGTTCTGTTAATATATATATATCTATTACTCTACCACATAAAGTATTTAATTGTACGGGTTGTCTGCTAGTATAATAACATAACATGTTTTGAGGGAAGGGAATCTATGACACGCATTGACGCTGTAACAGAATATATAATAACCGTCTCTCGCTTAATACGCATTTAGTTAAGATGCATTGATTTGCGCTATTCCAAAATTATTGTAATGATATCTTATTATATTTCGATGTAAATATGGAAGTGTAATACAAAATTAGTAATACAGCTGTGTGACCACACAACGCACCAAAAATAGCTTGCGCACTTCGTGCATACATCGTCCGCACATGGTGCGCACAACTGTGCAATTGATCAATCGTTATCTCCGTTGGGCACAGATGTGGTTGATCAACATTACGGAATGAAAAAAATACGGAAGGTTCTTATGATATATGGTACACTGAAAATATGAATTTCTCGACACAATTATTAAAATTATGCCCAATGCGTGTCAAACAGTATTATAGTGACCGTTAGACTGTCAATACCAGCATCTTAATGAGTGACCGGCGTTTTACCTGGTCAGTAACTGAGTATTATGTGTTTGTTAATTACATTCGTTTTTGTATAAAGTGTCTCTTCACCCGGATTTTATCACATTGATGAGTTACGTAAGTGCCCCGGGCGAGGATCATTACGGTCCAGGTACATATTTATATGTATATGAGACCCATGTTCATATGTGTTAAAATTTTACATGTTTCGATTTTGGTGGTTTCAATTTAAGAAAATATAGATATAAAGATAAGATCATATATATAGCTAGAATATAGAAACATGCTTAAAATAGCAAGTTTATATGATAAAACACGAAACCGTATATATTGTTAAGTTTTCCTCAATTTACACCAAACACGGTTTGTATTGCTCAACGTTCTTTCATCGTGCGCACACATGTGCGCCAGCTATAATCGTCCAGATTGGTAATGTTCGCACATCATGTACCGTTGTTCGATACCGCAACTGTAACTGTGCTCAGCAGATTATGTTATCTTTTATACCACTGACTCCCGTTAAAGTAATACTAAAGTTATATGAAATGTGAGCCAATACGCGATACGCAATATATATGATAGGTCTAATCTACGATTCCGAAAATAAAATGAATAACAAACGGGGAGCAGACAAACGATTGACAGAAAGGTGACCACGAAAGATCAGAAATTGTCTCAACAACAATTACTGGAATGAAATGGCGTGAACGGTTTATATTTCCTGCCGGACAGAGAAGAATCAGTAAACTGTATTAACAACTTCATAGTCGACACGACTTGTGCAGTTGGACAGTCAGTCAGCGTACCAGGTAGATAGACGTTGCGCGCAATGTTGGTGACACCGCTTCAAATCACGTATGACGCCCGCTTGAAGAATCGCTGTATTATTCAATATCTAAGAAAATGTTGCTTTTTCAAGCTAATTCATTTTCTGCTAATTATGATTAGTACAACACAACATGAAGAATTCTGTTTCACCTGAACAACCTTAAAAATGTCACAATAACTTGTGTAACGAGTAACATCTACGGGGTAAGACGTTTCTATGAAGGCATTGTTGTTGTAATTTACAATTGCACATCTTTATTTGTATGGTCAGTTAAAATATTTCAGAGAACAAAAACATAAAGCACTTGTCATGGTCATCAAAATATTGATGCAAATAAAATATTGCTGCTTTTATGACAATGCAAAAAATGATATATGTTTGGAAATTTTAACTTATCTGACCGACATCACATTTTTAGTCGTCGCAATAAATAAGGCTGCTGCTTTCTAAATGAATTGTCATGTTCGGTTTTGTAACCACTACATATTAGTGGTAGCTAATAAGCCAGCTTAATGCAGGAACGATGTGAAAGACATGGACTATGTTTTCAGAACGGCATCTTCTGCTTAAGTAGATTATACAAGATCTTCAATAAGATTCATCAGTTTTACTTTATACACGAACAATGTATGTACTAAACTTGTCGCAACGTTTCAAGACATACTGGTTCCCTTGTCAATCTTTGACCAAGTTAGCGATTTGTATTGTTTATCTGTACAACGATGTGACGAAATTGTATATTTCGTTTGTCACTCGAACCGGGTCGTTTCGCCTATCGATAAAGGACGTATACACACTATATCGAATAGGAACAATGCGAAAATAGATGTAAGAAAACACAATACAAAAACGAGACAAATCAAAAAAGCAATCAAAATCATAGAAACGTAACATATGAACAAATACGAGGGAAGGGGGGGACACTAGCTGAGTCATCTGTACGACACGATACCTACATTAAGTAAACCTTTGCTATTAAATCATATGAGGTTCTTAATAATGAATGGTCTCAAACTTGCATACGNGTGCTGTGAAGGGTGAAAGCAGCTAGTTTTTTAGTCGGTCGTTAATTTTATTTTTTCTATATATATATATGATAGAGTGAATATATATCAAGATAATTGAATAAACAATGGCAACAGTTTAAATTGTAAATTTATTTGCATATGTTTTCGTCTTTAGCTGCTTACCTGCTGTGATTTGTAATGTGTAACTGCCCCCAAGCGTTATTGTTTCCACCTTACCGTCACCATCAAGAAGGATCATTGTCAACCGCTCTTGATAGGAAACCGGAACTGGTTTAAAACTTACACCAGGGACACTGTAAATGAGAAGTTATGAAAAGACAATATACTGAAACTTAATCTATTCAGGTATGTGTCGGAGATGAATTTAACATCTTACCTGTGGTAGCAGTGTACAGTAGAGGGTTGTGGCCATGGGTGATATTTTTGTTAAATGGCTAACCCCTGTATAATGATATGTAAAAATATTATAAAAATAAAACTGTTCTAAAATTGGTATTAGCATGATGAAGTGGGCTATGTGAGCTTCACATTTGTAAAAAAGAAAGAAGATTTTTTTGGCTCGAGAATAAAATTTTGGCCATAATCCGAAAGGGTGAGTACACATGAAAAGCTAGCTTTACAGGAGGTTAACTTTTGACAACAGCACACGACGCAAAATTGCAAAAAAATAAGTTTTACAACTTTACTGGGACCCAGATAATTCAGCAACCAGGTAGGTAATCTTTAATTTCAGACAGAGCTTAGGAAAATTTTGGTAATTTTTGATGTGGTAACCATGGTTTTTCACACAAGTGACATACATAGAAAAAAGAGGTTTATACACTTCTCAGTACTTTATATGTATTGTAAATGTAATGCAGTTTACAAATATATATACATGTATACATGTGTTGTGTAGGGTAAATCCGCTGTGTTTACATTTCCTCGACATGTGCCTTGTTTATCAGAGTCGGGCCATTTCTACTGTATTCTGCTACCTGTGTATCAGTCATATTCCTACGACACTATTCTAAGAGGAAAGAAAGAAGATTATTTGATCAAAATATAAGAATCTAATCTCAACAGGTCACAGTAAAAAATGCGAAAGTTTGTCAACCGATCTTGTGTACATTGTGTCGTAACGTTTCTATTGAGATGTGATGACACGTAATTGTAACGTCACGATGTTTTGTCCTTTTGAAATAAACCTCAAGAGCCTTGTGAAGGGTGAAAGCAGCTAGTTTTGTAGTGGGTTGTTATAATTTAATTCTTCTATGTGTACCTACCTCTGATGGACATTTAATCATTTTTTATTATACATACATAAAGCAAAACATTATATTTAAATACCTATTAGGAAATTAGCTGCCTTCATCCTTCATCCTTCACATGGCTCTTCAGATTTATTTTAAAAGGACAGAACTGGGACGTCACAATTACATGTCATCACACTACAATAGTAACGTGACGTCACAATGTACACTAGATAAGTTGACAATCTTACACAAAATTTTACTGTGGCCTGTTGAGACTAAGATTAACTATTTTGATCAAATGGTCTGCCTTTTTTATCTTAGAATAGTGTCTATAGTGATGAATAATATCAAACATTCAAGCATAAAATTTTATGAAATGTATCTGATTTAGACTGTGTTTGTAGTAATTATTTAAAAACATTTGTCCCCCGTTCGGGATTAATTTCTCCTTTGTTCATGTTATCATCTGTTTCTTTTCTAATGCCTTACATTGGTTTTTCAAAAACTTAGTCCTTTGTTGACTTGTTACGTGGGAATCTTACTTTATAATCGATGTAATCACTTCGAGACCTTTGCCATTGCACATAACATCAATAGCTTCACCAACTCTCCTAGGGTCTAATTTGGCATCCAGATGACTATCCACGTTGCGTTCTAACATCAAAATCTTAACGTGTGTGTTCTGTAATAAAACCAAAATCAAATTTTATGTAATTCTTCCTATCACATACCTCCTTATTGTTAGTTACTATAATACAAATAAAATAAGAATAAATTGTGAAAACTTAACGTAAGGAATAAAGTGTGTACCGCAGTAAATATATAACTTCCTGATACTGATGAATGGGTCATAACATCCAAAAACCTTATTCCTAACGAGTACCTAATAACGTAAACGTGTGTTTGTATGTTCAAATGTTATACTTACCAATGGGCAGTTGTCGACGGTTACAGTTTTGTCAGCTGGTAATGAAGTGACGGAATTTTGCGATACACTTGTGCAATTTGAAACAACTGATTGTATTGAGTCCGTAACTGTTAATTTGATATGTCCGTCTCCGTCACAAGCTGTGCAAAAATAGCAAAAATAAATCTCCTGATCGGCAAAGGAATAACTGAATATGATAAAAAAAAAAGTTACAGTCTACATGGAAAGACAATTGAATTGATGTGGAGCATCAGATAGAAAAAATGTTTTACGCAATGATATTAACCATTTCGGATCTTTAATGTTTCTTAATATCTTTGATATGATAAATTGTGAACATTTCCCAAGATAATAAAAAGGATTTATTTTCTTGTTTAGATAGATCATATTCCGCAGAGGTGTTTTTTCCCGAACTTAAACATAAAAATAATGCGAGTAATGTATATAATACTAGACAATGGAAAGTATTACCAACAGCCATAAATGTTTCAGTTGATATATTTGATATGATAAATTGTGAACATTTCCCAAGATAACAATAATGATTTGAACTTGAACATAAAAATAATGCGAGTAATGCATATAGTACTAGACAATGGAAAGTATTACCAACAGCCGTAATTACACACACTATATCCTGTTATAATACGGACGTTAACATATGTATTTATAAAATAATTTGAACAAGAATTCTTAAAAGTATATGTCCTCAGATATGTAAGTTATAATTCATATCTAAAAAATATTACTCACCGAGGTCGCTGTATTTTGGAGGTTGTATATCTGCAGTGCATTTATAAAACGCAGGAAGCACAGCTACTATAAAAAGGTAATACAGTGTATTCTTATGTATTTCCATCTTCTTAAACTCCTGAAAGATAACGGGATTATTCAATTCATAACATTATATCTTTACATGTCAATGGTGAGTTCCTTCTCGTTTTAGTGATTTACATAATACAATAAACAATTAAAATACAATTTTAATAAATTTTATACATGCGGTTATTGATTGATTCACTTGATGTTATGTGTTCAGTATATAAATAGTCCCTACGCAATGTTTGTAAACAGTGGAGGGGGTTGTGGGTCAGGAGGTGAAAAGGTCATGCGCATTGATCTCGTTATATAAACTGATTACGCAGCATCAGCTTACTACAGCTGCTGCAGACATCGCCTACAACCACAAAGATGGACACTGGTCAAGGTCAGTTTTGTTGTTTAAAGTACAATAATTTTTGACAATTTTAATAAATTTTATACATGCGGTTATTGATTGATTCACTTGATGTTATGTGTTCAGTATATAAATAGTCCCTACGCAATGTTTGTAAACAGTGGAGGGGGTTGTGGGTCAGGAGGTGGAAAGGTCACGCGCATTGATCTCGTTATATAAACTGATTACGCAGCATCAGCTTACTACAGCCGCTGCAGACACCGCCTACAACCACAAAGATGGACACTGGTCAAGGTCAGTTTTGTTGTTTAAAGTACAATAATTTTTGACCCGCCTCCTCCCCATCTTCCTCCATCTGGTATTGCGGTACTTACCTGTTAATTATTATCCAGGTGGCGGTTTTATCCCCACCTAGGACCAAACTATTTTATGTACATGTTCCATATTGGTTTATGTTTTGGAAATATTTTCAATTGTCGTTTATACAAATTAAACGGCCAATTTCAATTCAATCATGTGTTTGGTTATTTATGTTCAGTTTGGTCCAACAAGCTTGCCCTGTCTGAAGTCATGTATAAAGATTATAAGGCAATTTTATTGTGATTTAATAAACTTAAAATCCCAGCTAGCAGGTTGATGCATATAACCAACAATATTTGCGCCGCAGCTATAGCATTATTAAAGTTGTTCCTACCTAGGCACCTGTATTCATAACACTACATAGTATCTTAGCTGTTGAAAGACTGTTAAACCCTAAACAATTGAAACTTTTGAAACGTTTTCATCCAACTCTTTTAGCAAATGATGCGTGTAATAATATCGCTCTAGATGCTTGGAATTAATTAATAATGAAATAAACATAAGGACAAATATATTCTTTGATTATTTTTGATTTCTATAATGCAATATTTCAAATTACTGTGACCTAAATAACATATTGAATAAGCCGAGTGGTTTTTTTTTCTCTTTTCCAATGTCACACATTTTTTTGCTTACAATTGCAATACTTTTGCTTGAAATATCAAACATAGTGAACTTATTTCAGTACAGGCAGGGATTTCGCAATTGTAAGCTAACATAAATGACGACTAGTATCATGGAAGTATGATTCAAATGCATAATGATAATGTTACACACAACCCGCCTACTCGAGTAAGTTATATTGTGACCCAACGTACACGTCCAGGGGGTAAGTGATAATGTTACACACAACCCGCCTACTAAAGTAAGTGACAATGTAACACAACGTACAGCGTCTACAATGGTAATGAAAGTGGGGAACATAACCCGTCTACCGAGGCAAATTATAATGTCCAACACAACCCGACTTCTAACGTAAGTGAAAATGTGATACACATCCCATCCTTGATACCCAGGGGTTACGCTCACGTTCGTTCTCTACACCCCTGGACTATGTCATAGCAAAATTGAAGGCTCAGTGTTTACCACCTTGTGGATGAGACAAGAAGAGTAGTTCGATCCTTTGATGAACATCGAAAAATCTAGCCGTCGCGTAACGGTAAAAAAATTAACAGGCTTTGAAGTCGAGTGTCGCTCCTTTGTCATCTTCAAAGGACAGCTATCAGCGCAGCGATTGGTCAGTTTTATTGACCTGAGACAAATCAAACAGCTATCTTCGTGCCTTCAAGTTTTCTATGCCATATTACAAGGGTGCAGAGAGCGAAAGTGAGTAAAACACCTGGATATCGAGTATGCACACAACCCGTCTATAAGGATAAGTGAAAACGTGGCACAAAACCCGTCTACCAGGGTATATGATAATGTCCCACACAACCCGTCTAACATGTGGCAAACGATCCGTCTACCGAAGTAAGTGAAAATGTTGCACACAACCCGTTTACAATGGAAAATGGAAAAGAAGAAAAACGACCCGTCTACCAGGATAAGTAAAAAGTGTGGCACACGACCCGTCTACCGAGGCGAATGAAAATTTGACAAACATCCCGTCTATTGAGGTAAGTAAAAATGTGGTAAACAACCCGTCTTCTAGGGTAAGAGTTTAGTAACACATCTGCCTTGTTGTCCAAGCCTGACGTCATTAGAATATGGCGTCAAATATCATGTTGCTTATTCCTGCACTTTTCTAATGCATTAATATTTACATAGTGTTACCTGAAAAAGCTCTAAATAGAACATTTATTGTTTTCTAGTTTAATACATGTACCATATCGATTTCAATATAAATAAAAATGTAAACTAGATATGGTATTCAACGGAAAACCAATGAATAATCCCTATATTTATATATTTGAAAATGTGCACAGTATTTAGGTGTTAAACGACATGAAGAATCAGAAAAAGAACAATTGGGTCATTGGTAGACGTGTCCTTCTCTTCCTTAAAAATAATTCTAACATTATTTTGTTTTAGTCGACAAAATCTGATTAATTTTGGGTGTGATCAGCCAATGGTCTAGATCAACGTTGAACAAATATAATTCTCGTTGTTTTTTGTCCCGATAATACCTTAATAGTGAATGTCCGTACAAATTTCAAACTTGGTTGATTGCGTACCTTGATGATTGCGAAAAAATCTATTGATTTAGGAAGTCAAGGTCACCGTTGCTACAACTAAAATTCTGCTTCGCTGAATGAAAACATGCACGATTATCTGCACATGACCTATGTACAAATCCTTATATACCTAAGTCCTTCCTGGGTTTATCAGAGTGGGAATAGTTATTTCGGCGCATATGAAGGTGCGTATGTATGAAAGTATTTCGTTTGATGATGATGATGTGAGTGTGTTTGTCCTTTTGTCTGTAAATGCCATAAGCTGTAAAACATAAGCAAATGAAGTAAAGAAACATGATACACCTACCTGGTGCACGACTTGTACAAACGGTCCACTGTGCTGCCGAGTTGTGTGTGACCTAGGTAAACAGATATCCTATATATCAGAATATGTGTCACGTGGTCAGGCTGTATTTTCGGTGATCACCACCACTAAGAACATTGCAAAGGGAATATACATGCAGATTATATGTATGTCTGTATAATATCCTTATCTACTTAAAGCATACCTTATCACACATTAAGCAATTTAGATAATCAAACCTTGGATTGTGTTATCTGTATTATCTTGAACGAGGAACGAGTTGTATTGATGGTGTTAGGTTATTCTCTCTATATTTTTGTTATTTTTGTTTTAAATTTTGTGATGAAGTGTATTTGTTGTAATAAGTACAGAAAAAAAACCGGAAAAGTTCTTTGCCATCTAGCTGCAACCTTTTGAGCCTGTTGGACATTATAGCTTTTCTGTGGTAACACCACCTTGTTATCTAGTTACACTGCAGATTTTGAATATATTTTAAAGTCACATATTCATAATTATAATTCATTATATGTAGTTAGCATGCGATGTGAGGTTTCAAAAGTTAAAAATCAACTTACATGTATCCAAATGATGCAAAGTCGTGTTATTTCCAGTAAATAATACGGGATAGATTTTCGTCGACTAATTAGGAGTAGAAAAAACGCAATTCTCCAGATAATTGTCCAATAACCCAATATTCTTCGAAAAAAAATACATGTAGTAATACTTGATGGATTACATGTAGTAATACTTGATGGATTACTGTAGTAATACTTGATATCAAACGTTCAGGAGAAAGTAGTCTTCCATTTTACAAATCAAATATTTTTCTTATGACGAAGAATGCAGCTTTTTGTAACGTTATGATCATATCATCACAGGGGCATTTAGCACAATACTAAGTGTATACGTACCGAGCAACAGTTTAACGTTACCTTGAAAGCTTAATCATACCTTTGGCTAAGACGTGTTTTAAATGTTTAAATGGTTAATTGAATGTTATGTTGTATAGAACTTTTTTCTCAAAACGTGATGAAACCATGATATTCATAGTCATTTAATTGCGGTCAAAAACATCTTTGATTAGCATAAAATGATAAATACCTATTTTCTAGATATTGATTTTGAAATACTAAAAGCAAATAGTATTGTTAATTAAATATTTGAAAGAGTTCTAATCAATATCCCGGATGTTAGTTATCATATTTGTAATGTTCATTTTGTAAACACTGTATTGGCAGAGTAAAAACAGTTTATAGTACGTACGTAGTTATATATTAAGTCGTAATTACGAGAAGCCTATGTAAGGAGAACACTACTTCCTACTGGTAAACACGTAATAAAAACGAGAAAATTACATGGATGTCTGAATAAAGACACAGCATTGCAAAATTACAACATTTAGCATATTACCCATAGCACCAATCAGCTTATCTAGGAAGCAGACAAAACAATATTCAAAAAAGTGCTGAAGCGGTTGTAGTATAGTTTTCGAAATATGTATTTGTCTTGTTAACAATAAGTAAATTAAATATAACAAGATAATATGATTATCATTTTAAAAGCAATTCATCTAAATATACCCATCACTCTATTAGAATACCATAGACTAGCTTACCTTTTACAAGCCGGAAAACAAGCGATAGATACTGCCTGAGATACAACGAGGTTTGTGTGTGAGTAAACATGGAGTGTCCTATCTTTCTATCTGCTGATAGTACAGCGACACATATTGAGAATGTTCCTTGTGCTTATCGACACTCGTCTATATTTTTTAATCGACAAGCTGTCAACTTAATATTGTAATGGTACACAATGAGCTAACAAAAGTGGTATAACTCATATAAAACATAAATAAGTGCATACTATTTTATGGTATAAATAATTTATACACATATATATATATAATTATGAATATAGTGAAATTAATATATCGGTGTTGAAGGTTAGAAAATATAGTATAGCTTCAAATATCACCTGTGACGTCATAAATAAGCTAAATACTACCAGAAACAATTTGTAAAACGGCGATATATTAACCAAGTGTTATTGTAACAAAGGTATTGGATAGATGGAATTCAGATATAATAAATGCATATTGATAATTGCCATATTTATTTTGTAATACACTTTTTCCTAGAAACTAACTTTATAACACTCCTTGATCGTAATTATTATCCCTTTATCAATATGTATGAGCTATTTTCATGAGTTTTATATACAATTAATTAACATTAACTATT